CGAGAGGTTGTGGAGCTAGAGCACCTCCACCACTTGCAAGGGTGGAAATGGGGATAAATTAAGAGGCAGCGAGGGAGCAACAGATATCGCGAACCGTTCGTAAGCATACACAGCGCGGCCTCTCGAGCTGCTTGCACGTTCCCCCGTACCCAACCGTTCCTCGTCTTTATCTTCCTAACAATATATATATATATAAATAAACAAATAAATAAATAAATAAATAAATAAATAAATAAATAAATAAATAAATAAATAAATATTTATCTCGTGTACAAGCGACACGGCACGCAACGCTGCATCAAAAGAAGCCTTTCTCTTCTCGCTTTCCGTTCACAAATCGCACAAGCCCTGGCACACTTGAAAACCAAGCCTTTGTAGAGAATGTCAGACACATTGGAAAATAAAAATGAACCTCCCAGCAAGATCATTCCGCCACTAAAGCCAAGGTCAACAGATGATGGGAGATATGATGGAACGCACCACTGGCCTCAGTACACTGAAAAGAACAGGTGCAAATACAGCAAAACTGGTTACACGTTCTTGGACTGTGCAAAATGCGAGATGCTGCTGTGCCTTATCCCAAGTCGCAACTGTTCTCACTCGTTTCACGTGAAGTAGCGCCGCAGATGTCCAACGTTGCTCAGGAGTAACATATCATTAGGTGTTCACAAATAAAGATAATTTTTTTTCTGAGAGCAGATTTTTTTTTGTTGCTGTCTGTTCTAAATCCTCACCAAAGTTTGTAGGTGCGCTGGACTTAAACTAAAGTGTTGGGCATCAAAGGGTTTAAAGGGATAGCTATACGGGCGACACCTTGCAGGATTTCAACCTCGTGTCCTGTCGTCGCCGCTATGAAAAAACCCATCCCTCCGCTCTTGGTGCGAAGCCAGGGAAATCGGGTTTTTCCGTCGACCCCCCGGCATCCCGCAACTAACTATGCGACAAAAAAAGTCTTCCGTGTCGTCTGCTTGAAAGATTCGTTTTCAAACATGACTCGCATTATGCGAAATCCCACTTTGGTAGTATCCAGTTGCTACGCGTAATATTAGATGGTTTTAGAAACTTCCACCGCGCTTACTCATTTACTTCAAGGATCACTTGTGACAGTCGTCAGTTGCATCCTCAATGCCAACCACGACGGCTCTCAGAATTAACCACGTCGCACCTGCGTCTTCAGGTACGTGACGGTACCATACCAGCCGCATCGCGCGACCGTGCAACAGCTATCGATTTCGTTTCTTCAGAGATTGTGGGCAAAAAATACGACTTTTTTTCTTTTTCTTTGTCATGTGACGTAGCGCGTTTATGTATACAGATGGTAAAGCGCCCATGGATCTATTGATGTTGCTTGGTGTATTCTGAATGTATCCTGATTCAATAAATAGTATCTGCCGGGGGTTACCTTTGACGTTGAGGATGCTCGTGATCTTGAAGTCGATGCCATGGTCTTTGAGATGATGTTTCTCAACAGCGCTGTGCTCGCGATCAAATTTGCGTTACTCGTATTTGTGTGGGAGAAGTATCGCGTGGAAGCCCTTTGGTTTCACCGATGTTTGTGGCGGGGCAATCAGAGCAGAGATTTATGTTTACTAGGGCCAAATTATGCAATGTTTTTTTTCATGGCGAAGCTGGGGTACGTACAACAGGGCCTGCATTGTTCGCGGAGCAAAATTGAACTTATGCACCGAGTGTTGTCCGTTTTTATGTGGAATTCGGTTTGAGAGCGAACTAGTGAAACAAACGTTTTCCGCCGAGTCAAAACGAGTGGTTTCCTTTCTTATTTATTCATCAGGCAGCTCGTGAGCAGGTTTATTTTCCTTCAAGACCGAAGGGACACATCCTTACGTGTCGTGATTCAAGTGAGGTTACGTGACGCGCTGCCCGAGTTTATTGGGGCGTCGAGTTGCTTCAGCAACTGGATTCGGGAGTATTTAAAGGAAGTCAATGACGCATATGCCTTTTTAAGAGCGCGGTTTGCGCTATAATATTTGTCTGGGGCGTGGATGTCCCTTGAGATATCTGACCGACGCCTCACCTCCCGCTCCTTTGTACCGAGCTTTGTACAGTGCCGCACCGGGACAAGACGTTTTAAAATGAGCACAAAAAGTAATAGACTCCGCATGGGCGAAAACGTTTTTCTCTAAATCACACAGTGAAACGCTCCCTGTCAAAGCCTGGCTAGTGTCCAATGGCACACAAGTAGCATAGTCTGAAAACTGTTTTCTGTGTAAAAGGCCCGATCCCATAAAACATATATTCCTACTTGCTGGGATGTGGTATTTTTTGGGACATCCTCCAAACAACTTTAAAACAAAATTGTCACGTTAAAGCCCTATGGCGTACGGTACTTGTTTGTGGAACGTGGGGACACAGTTCCCTGTGACATATCTATGCTCGCTGCTCTGCATAGTCTGTGACAGTGTCATAGGGTTGTACGGCACACAGATTAATGTGCGTCCTGTTCATAAGTATTTCGTTGAAAGCATGTGCTACTTAAAAGACATTTATAAGGTGCAGCAGCCGCTGCCTGACTGGTTGCCACTGGTTGAAGAGCTTGAGACCTTCAAGAATTTCTGACGATTTGAACTTTGTGTCATTCTCCTCACGAGCCAATTTGGCTTCTGTTCTAACCTTTTATTAAATACGTATACCTAAAAAAAAAAAACAGGCAAAAAAAAAAGTGTCTGCGTGGCCTAGTTGGTAGCCTGTCTGGCTCCTAACAGAACAGTCGTAGGTACAAACGCCGCCTCTGCCAAAAATTCTTTAATTTTTTTCTTTAAGGCAAATGAATTACTTTAAAAAAAGCCAAATGATTTCACACATGCAGCAACATTTAATTACCATTTCATTGCATGTTTTAATCACTTCAATTCAACGCGTGACGTCACGTTTGACGTGACTGTTGTGGGTGCTTGAAATTCCCGCGCGCGGTCATACGGCTGTGATGTCATGACCCATCGACCAATCAGGATTTGCCCTCCCCCCCGACGCCGTATTTTCTTCGACACAAGCTCCTAAACTCGAACGTATCGTGTTAAAAACGGTTATCGATGATCTCTAGAACAACGGCTACACCAGCGGCTTTATTCATCGAGTTGCCCACAGTCAAGGTCGCACTCATCGGCACGCACAACGGCAAGGACAAAGCTACACGCATCAGCGTGCCCTATATAGGGGTACAAGTGTGGCACTAGCACACGTGCTGGCAAAAAATAGAATTCGGGTAGCTCACAAGCCTATGCGAACACTGGGACGACTTACAATACGACCAAAATATCGCTCCTCTAAAGAAAAGGAACAAAAATTCGTGTACAGAATTCCGCGCTCCGACTGCCCCGCCACATACATCGGTGAATTTAAAGAGCTTCCACAAGATACTTCTTCAACACAAAAACGATGTATGCAAACTTGACCTCTAGCGCAGCGCTGTTGAGGAACATTACGTCAAGGACCATCGCATTGACTTCAAGAACACGTGCATCCTCGACGTCGCAGGTATCCCCCGGCAGAGACTTTTTATTGAATCATGTTACACCCAGAATACACCAGGCAACGTCAATATCCATGGGCGCTTTACCATAACCGTATACTTAAACGCGCAACGCTGCGCGAGGAAGAAAAATAAAACATCACCACAACAAAGCAGTTGCTTCTTTTCAAATAATTAGAGCGGCCCCTGAAGAAACAATCGTATTTTTGCCCACAATATGCGAAAAAACGAAAGCGATAGCCGTAACACGGTTCCGAAATGCGGGTGGAATGGTGCCGTCACGTAACTGTGGAAGGAGGTGCGACGTGGGTAATTCTCATATTCTTCTCACTTCGCGCTTTCCACTTTTGCCCTCCCCCTCCTTTCCTATATCCTCTCCACTTTTCACCTTGCCCCAACTTGGCGCTCCTCGCAGATTAGGAGAGGGGAGTGCTAACAGGATTATCTTCCCTGCAGAAAACCGAGGGTGTACGTCGGCCTTTAACGTCGTGGATGACACTGACGACTGCCACCAGTGATCTGTGAAGTGGGTAAGCGCGGTAGAAGTTTCGAAAACCATCCGACACTACGCGTAGCAACTACATACTGCCAAAGTGGGATTTCGCATAAAGCGAGTAATGTTGGAAAACAGGTCTTTCAAGCAGACGACACGAAGAATCTCACTTCGTTGCGCAATTCTTGGTGGGATACCGGGGCTGCCCTCTTCGCTCTCTGCGCGCCGCACGGCGTACGGGAAGTCCCGACTTCCCTCTCCTCGCGGCAAAAGGAAAGAAAGGGTTTTTAAAATTTCCTGTGCGCGCCGCGCCGACAAGCGACGATCAGAAAATCTCTGCAATGTCACCAATAAAACCATGTCGGTTTTGAAATGTTGGATCTCAGCTTTGAAACGTTGGACCTCAGTTTTTGGACCTCAGTAGTGATAGGTTCGAGTTCCTCTATTGCCTAAGAGTTCGTAGTGGATACGGTCGTGCCGCAGAACATGCTATTTTCGCCGCTAGCATAAGGGCTCGTTCACTCATTTACGTCGACTGCGTCGTGCAGCACAGCGCCTTTCCATTGGCTCGTCGTAAGGGTTGCCTTAGCAACAGCTCGACGCAAGCATTCTTAACGCGGTCAAACGTAGTCAGACGCAACTGTTTAAACGGGCCTTAAGAGATTCACGTCGTCGCTTGTGAACGAATAAGCGATCTTCATGATTCTTGCCTCGACATTCGTTATTCGGCGTCCTTATCGCGCAACGCCGCAATCTGATTTGTTGAGGAGCAGATGTAAGGTGCTCGGGATTCTTCGCGCCAAGCCTTCCTTAAGCTACCAGTAGCCGCGGATACACGGATGCCATTATAGCGCATTGAATGGAGATACGACAATCGTGATTGGGTAGGAGAGCAAGAACCGGAGGGACTGGACGCGAGTGATTGGTTCCCAGTTCGATGCGCCAATGTCGCGTTCGGGGAAACGCTGCCAGTGAGCTATTCTAATTCGCGGGCGGCTTCGCTCGCCGCCTGCTTACCTTGAGTGAGACGCGTTCTTTCAATCTCTCTTGACACTCGAGCATGTAGGCAAGGTGGCGAAGCATGGCCGCCGCGGGCAATATTTGCAGGAACCCTGCGGGAGACTATACTGTATGGAAGACATCCCGGTACACTCCGGAAGCGAGCAGCTTGCTCACATAGGCCCATGTATTATTTAAACGTAGGTGGTTTGCTCTATAGAATGCTGTCTAATTCAGTGGCAAAGTACGTGGGGACCAGAATTGCCTAAATTGTATCTATGCTTCCTCGTACAAGTAACAATACGCAACGTGCAGTGCGAAGTGTTTTCCTCAGGTATTAAATGGTACTTTTAGGTTCATTCTTCTGCTGCTGTGTGGCGCCACTCACTTCCTAAAACTTACTGAGTCACGTAGTAGACGCTTAAAAGAGTATGACTACTTGGAAGAAGCACGTGCAAATTGCGTGCTATCAAGGAGCTTGAACTGTAGTTATATAGTAAGTGGCTGTAGTTCAATTTTCTTTTTGGCGGCAAATATTGCTCTTTTTTATTTTAATATGGCGCTTTTTGGATCGTTCCGAGTTTCCGAGTGTGAAAATAATTTATACTAGGCATACACGCGTCCATCGCCTTATAATACGGCCGTGACAAGTTACCCTGCCACCTTTTTGTATACTCTACAAAAAACGCCCGTACCAGGCGTTTCAATCTAGTATCTCCGCGACGCCTTCTGGAAGTTTGCTGAAGGATTACTGGCATGTGGCGTTTTTCTTCCTTTCGCTTGTTTTGTTGCCCCGAACGTTCGATGAGGAGTATGACAGAAATTGAAGAGGAGGTGACTCTCTCCAACATCTCACTCGTAACGAGGCCTTGGTGCTAAAAGTTCTACGTCACCCACCAGACGCCAGTGGGATGCGCAGATTGGACACAAGGGCTGCAACAGCTCTCGGGTGAAGCTTCATTCCTCACTGATGGAACACGAGCCCTCGCCGAACATTGACGAAGCACTCGTCCCCGATCCGTACCCCGCGCCGGGCTTCACTAGGTGACGTATAAAACCCAGCACGATGAACCGGTCTTTAATTGGTGTATTTAGCGTCCCCTACCAATATTACCCAAAAGACGAGGCCTGCGTAACACGTCATTGTTAGTAAATTCACGACCTGCCCCAAGCGGCAAACACACCGAAACGCGACGAAAGCCGCCGCAGAGCGGCAGACACGCCCGTCTTCGCATCGCCATGTGGTAACGTCATAATTGTTGTGAGACGCTGCAACACGCGCTGACGACGATACTGACGCAAGGCAGGCGGCCACTGTGTGGATCCACTATTCATACAGCGTGCAACGCTGTCAAAGGTATTGGCGCGAGCGCGTGGCTTCATCTATGGTTCTGTTTGCGCGAAAACGCGTGCAAATGCTCAACGAGATCAAGCCCCATGCTCGCGCCAGTACCTTTGACAGCGTTGCACACTAAGTATGAAACAGAGTATAGTGAGGACGTTTGAGGAAGGAAAGGTGCAGCCCTTGTCTTCTTTCAGAAAACTAGAAAGCGTGAAAGAAAAGGACAAGAGGGAGACGTATACACAGGACTAGCGCTTACTCGGTACTGACGTTTTAATTCGGAAGATGAGGAAGACGAAGACATTAAAGACGCTAACGTTAAAAGTTACAAATAGTTATGAGAAAGGAGTGAAGGGGTCTGAAAAGACTGAGAATTAAAAATGGTAAAGAACTAAAATTAGTAAAAAAAAAAAAGGAAATGGTTGATATGATTAAAGACAGAGAGAGATGAATCGTTTTATTAAAACTATCGGAAATCCGGCTGGAGTTAGTCTTGCCACTAGACCGACATTGTCCCACGCGCGAAAGGAAAATATAAAGTTAAATTAATGAGAAGATAAAAAGAAAGAGGATAGATATGAGAAGATTAGAGGAGGTATTAAAGTTAGTGGTCAGAAATTTCCACTGTTGTCTTTGTCACGTTTGTAGTATATGAGCCCTTTACAGTTGAGTGTGTAGGCCAGTGGCTGGCAGGAAATTCAGAAATAATTTCTGAAGTAATTTCGTCATAGCACGAGTACCAGAAGGAAATATAAGTTGTGCTGTGTCCTGTATCACAAATTTGTGCTTTCTCAACTCAGCCGGGAATGTTTTTCTTTCCTTTTCAAACTTTTGACAATCGTCCAGCATGTGATTGAGGTCTTCGGTTACTCCACACTTGCTGCAGGTATCGGTATCTCACTTTTTCCAGTGGTGCAGCAGTTGGCCTGTACGTGCACTCTCTGTACGTAAACGGAAAAGCAGAGTGGCGTCTGCGCGGTGGAGATTTCGGGTTATGCACGGCTGAACCGAAGAGGAGTGGACTATAGATAACGAGCATATATGGTCGTATATAGTTTTGTTGAAATTTCTACTGTATTCTGTGGTCTTAATGCTAGCGGGTAAATTATGAGCGGCGGAAGCAAGTTGATCCGCTTTTTCGTTGCCTCGTAGCCCGATGTGTGCCGGTACCCCCTGATAGTAAATTTTGAAACCGTTCGCTTCCAGTGGTTTTGTAGTTAATTTAGCTGCCGTTGCTGCTTTCGACGTTTCTTGGAGTCTTTGTAGCTGTTGGAGAGCAGCACGAGTGTCTGTCAGTAAAACCACATTTTGTGGTGTGAGCTTACTTATCAGGTTGTGAGCTTCTACAATCGCATACATTTCAGCTATTGTTGACGATACCATCTTATCGAGTCGTCCACTTCATTCAAGTTGTAAACTAGGCATATAGAAAGCGGAAGTGCCGCTTCTTCTGGTGCGACTTACTGACCCGTCTGTGTATACTTGTAGACAGTCAGCGTATGTTATCGAGATATATTCGATTGTTTTTTGCTTGATTGCTGTTACATTTTTGCTCATCTTATTGTGTATACCCGGAATGTGGAAGGTGCACTTTGGGCAGTAGTTGTTCCAGGGGGCGATGGTTTAACACCATTTCGATCATGAGAAATGTCAGGTGTCCATTCAAGGTGTTGAAGAGTTTGTCCAGAAATATAAAGACACGATTTTTGTCTGGTTTTAAGTCGTCGCAACAGGTCTCTTCCTGCAGACGTGGTAATCAAACGTACGTGCTGAGAAAGAAGGCTCTTGGTTGCTAGCAGCGGTAAATTGAAAGCGCGAGCTTCTTTGTATAAATTTTCATTTTTTGTTGACCTTGGAACTCCCAGTCAAGTGCGCAGGCCTTGTCTATGTATGCACTTGAGCATTTCGGAATATGTTGATGACAGCTTAATGAATGGCAAAGAATATAATATACGGTTTACAATAAGGGCTGAATGCAGACGCATCATGGATCTTGGTGAGTTTCCCCACGACTGTCCTGCGACTCTACGAATTGCGTTTCTTGCTGTCAGTGTAGATTTTTTTACGATCATAGCTTGTGCATGCCAGTTAAGCCTAGACTTCAAAGTGGTTTTTAAAAACCTGTGTTGTCATTCGCGTCGTATCGGTGTATTGTAAAGTGTGAGGTCAATTTTGGTATTACGTCGGTTTTTTCCCAGGAACAGTATGAATGCAGTTTTTTCGAGTGAGAATTGTAGGCCAGAATCATTGAGATAATTGCTTGCTGCGGTGATGGTTGCTTGAGTGGCGTTTCGAAGGCCATGGTGCCTGTACCCTGAAACCCAGACGCATATATCATCCGCATACACTGACATATTAATGGGAAGAGTGTACTTAGGAAGGCATGCTGGTAATCTTGCCAAAACAATGTTGAACAAAATGGGCGATAGTACGCTTCCTTGTGGTAAGCCTCTAGTACATCTGCGAGTAGTGCTGAGAGACGGACCAAGCCGAACCCTGAGAGTTCTGTTGGTCAAGACGCTTTTCAGAAACGTTTGGAACTTCCCTGTTATGCCGATGTCTGTCAATTTTTCGAGAACTACCGCTGGTTCAACATTATCGTATGCTTTCGAGATATCGAAAAATACCGTCAAAGTCGATTTTTTGTTAGATTGGTTGTGTTCGATCGAACTGATTAGGTCTAAGATGCTGTCTTGAGTCGATAGCCCGCGTCTGAATCCTGTCATTTCGTGCGGCAAAAGATGGTTAGTTTCAAGCCACCATGTGAGTCGAGCATGTATCATCCTTTCCATGAGCTTCATCACACAGAAGGGGAGAGAAATGGGGTGGTACGATGATGGTGCGTCGTGTGGTTTTCCTGGTTTGTGTAAGGGTACAACCCAAGCTGGTCTCCATTCTTCTGGTATGATACCTGATTCCCATACAGAATTAAAAAAACTTTAGTAGCTCTTGTAGACGCTCAGCTGGTAAGTTTTGCAGCATCTGGTTTGTGATTCCGTCTGGTCCGGGGGCACTTTCCCGCTTAGTTGATTTTAACGCGAACGTTAATTCTTCAATGTTGAAGTCCGTGTCTAAGGGAGACGATCTGGTCACAGCTTCATACACCTTGTCGGTCTGGTCTTGGGTCGAAAAAAATTGGTCCGAAAATTTCTCCGCTGCTTCCCTCAGATTTGTTCCGAGGCGAAATGCCATCGAAGCATGTGAACGGCGTAAATCACGTTTGCCTGTAAAAGCATCGAGTATTCTCCAAATCTCAGTTCCAGGCTTGATGGCATCAGCTGTAGCACATGTGTCATCCCAGTGCTTACGTTTTGTTTTCTTAGCTTAGCGGTTCATAAGTGCATTGATTCTGTTTAACTTAGTTTTGCCAGTGCTGGAGTATTTGCGCTGGATCTGTCGTTGGGCCTGTCTTCGGGCTGCACAAAGATTAAGCAAGTTGAGGTCAAGTTCTGGGTAGTGCTCTGGTAGTCGTATCTTTATACTAGCCTTCTCCGCGCTTGTCAATATAGCTTGTAGTATGGGCTCTGTAGACGTTTCCATGTTTGTTCTAAAAGAGCCCCAGTGGGTGACCTGTCTGGTGCACTGTCGAGTCCCACGAAATTCATGTAGATGTATAAATATTGGATAGTGATCACTTCTCATTGTGTCAGGGTATCGTTTCCAATCTACACACAGGCTTGGTGAGTGGACAGTGATGCCGATGGCGCTGTAAGTGTCAGGTTGTCGAAAAAACGTTGGACTGCCGTCATTCGCCACAGCAAGATTGCATTC